AGTTTTATTCCATTCATTTAAGAGCTCGAGGATATTCAATCATTCCTGAGCTTGGTGATATTCTTGGGTCATTTCTATTACAGGGGTATTTTGGTCATTTTACAGATTCACGGTATTTCAATCTTTTCCTTTCATCCGATCTTATTATTTAATTCAATCTTATCATTTACTTCAGTCCTTTCGAACAATTCTGACAGCAGAATACCCCGATAAATTACTCTTCCAGTATTTACTCATTATTCGAATATTTTCAGGTCAAGTGTCTTCTCAGACTTTACAAACGGAATATCATAAATTTTCCTGCACTAAGTCGGGATCTTAACAATTAAATCCGTACTTAATCGAGTTAAGTACGAATCCTCTAAGTATTTTCTCATTCAGAGTCATCTCAGACTATTCTACCTCTTAAGGGCATTTCCGTAATTTCTTAACCAGATAAGTTCGATATTAGCTCTTAACGAAAATAATATAATTTAGAGATCCTATGATTAATTGCTTTCTTGAATAATCTCTGATCTTGAAATAATTCCCTTAACACACTTCTAGTATCTTGCATAAACCCTCTTGGGGTTAAAACCGGTTATCCATAATGTCTACGTATAACTATCATTTCTTATGCACATCAATATTTTATCAGATCAATATGTCTGTAAAATCCTCTTATCTAACTTCCATATTCCAATCTTGTCTTTTTATAACACAAGGGTATTTTCGTAATTTTACCCTACCGGAGTATTTTCATAAATTCACATCCAAATGCCTTTAACATTTAACCTTTTATAAAATAAATTATAAGTTACAGATCCAGGTTGATTTCTTTACCACTAAGCACATAACTTGTAATTTAATTCTAGCAATCCCTTAATTTCTTATAAAAGTCATCTGAACCATAATCAATTACTGAACCTTTTTACCGTATTCAGATCGAGTGTAGAACTTCATTAATTACACATATGAGACCAAACATTTCCATTCATGCATTTACCAATACCAACATGTTCTATAAAGCATAAAGAGGTAGTAAAGTATTACCTCGATTTCTGTGCAATACTGATCGACCATAAAAATTCCATTCGAACGCCTTTGATCTTCAATTCAACTTCCAATAATTCCTCAGATACATATCAACATAAATTATATCAGAAACGGAGCTTAATTACGATAAACGGATCGAATCGGGTGATAAATCAGTGAAAGACAGCTTACCGAGTTCGAATTTGGCGAAACGGACTTCGGATTCGGATTCAGGACGTCGAAAGCATAAAATATGACTTTTCGGAAATTTGGAATTTTTGGTCAAAATCAAAGTCAACGGGTTTGACTGACAATTTCGAGGCCTTCGGGTTCGAATTTCGAAAAACGGACAGCGGAATCGGATTTGGAACGTCGAAAAATGTCAGGATAGGTATACTCGGTTGAAGTCAAAGGTCGTTTAATGCCCGATCAAAGCCAGTCAAAGTTTTGGTCAACAGTGGTCAACTCCGGTCAACGGTCAACGGGTCAACGGTCAACGGGTCGGGTCAACGGGTCGGGTCGGGTCAACGGGTCGGGTCGGGTTGTGACTGGTCAAACCGGTCAAAACAGTTCCAAAACCGGTCAAACCGGTCACTTTTCCCTTCCCCACGCGCAGTGGCGGCGCGTGGGGGCGCGTGAACAGTGATAAAATCCCGGAAAAATTTCTAAAATTATTTTGAGCGATTTCGAGATACTTACAAAGCTCGGTTCACAATTTTGAACGGCGGAGAGCTCGATTTCAACAAATCGGGAAGTTTGACCGGTTCACCTCCCAACGCTCCGCCGCCGTCGGAGAAAAAGGAGAACACCGGTGGACTCGGAACGGCACAAGGAACACGATGGTGCGGGAGGTGTCGTAAACGGATGACCCGATCCTTGTGAATCGATGAAAAACCAACTAAAACCGAGTTATTACCGATGATACTTCCGACTGAAATTCACGACGAACGGCGATGATTCACGACGAAAGGTTTGAGGGGTTTTGTTCCTCGGTTGACAACGAACACGATGGTTGTTTCGGCTCGTCATTTGGAGGTCGGACGGCGAGTAGATCGGAGTTGAAAAAGGGGTTGAGGGGAAGAGGAAAACTGGAATTTTCCAGAAAAATATGCGTCTGATGAGGGTTTATAATATCTCAAAAAGAAAAATGGGTAAACCATGAGTTTAGCCACTGAATTTTCTGCACTTTATGACACGGTCTTTCAACTTTGAAATTTTGCAATTTAATCCTCATTTTCTTCCAAAATACCAATTAAATTTACCACATTATAATTTTTTAAAATTTAGCCCCTAAATTGGGGTGTTACAGAGATCAATAATGGAGGATTATAAAAGCTAGCTAAACTATGTATAGATTATATGTTCCTTTCTGTCAAAAGATAATAAGCTTTTTTCTCGATTCCCTATGAATTGAACAAGGCAAGATAAAAATTTTCTATTGAAGGCCTAGTTTTTTCTACCCACTCAATGACTACTTTAATTAGTGTTCGTCTTCAATTTTTATCTCTACCATCATTTAATATAGGCTTAATACATTTTAGGTATCTAAATTATATTTCAAATTGATTTTTAGTCTGTATTTTTTTTTTATTAAAAATAGGTGTATGATGTTTTATTCGTTACACTTTTATGTATCTATCATTAAAAAAACCATTGAGTGACATGCATCATGTTTTCAATTTTTAATTTTTTTTAAAATAAAATGTTATTTAAAAATATTTTTTAAATATGAACGTGACATGTGTCACTTAATATTTTTTTAATGGTATGCGCTTAAAAATGTAACGGAAAAAAATATTAGGCACCTATTTTTAATAAAAAATTCTTTAAGCACTAAAAATCAATTCGATGTATAGTTCAAACATCTAAAAGTGTATTAAATTTTTATTATATATAAACAACATTTTAAATTGTATGTTAATTCAGTTGATTTATTTGTTTTCGAGAGATAATATTAACTATATCTAACCCTTAAATCGCAATATAATAAATGAAGTTCTATTTAGATTTAAATTTGAGATAACTCATCAAGTGACATCAGTAATTAAAGGGATTATTGTTCTCTCTATTGGTATTAGGTTCGAGCTGTTAGGTCTGCACAATATATGTGCATTGTCGATGGTTAAAAAAAATTCTGAACAACTACTACCTTATAATCATCCCAAATTATTTATAAAATTTAGAATTTATTTTATAAGCTTTAAATTTGATATAATGTGCTTCCATAATTTTCAAATCATGTATATTGTCTAACAAGTATATTCTAATGCTATAAGCTCAAGGATACCTCTAACACCGAAGGGAACGATGTTGATTTGTACGACTGATTTGCACTATGTTGTGAGGTTTGTAAGTATAACATGCATGTGTTGTACTCATACCTATTTATTTACTCTCATTTTATGCTTATGTTTATGATGAGCATATAGCATAACAGAGTGTATATATATATATGTGTGTGTTAGTGAATTTACAAAACTCAACCCTTGAATATTTTTATTTCTAGTTAATTAGTGGATATAGATTGTGTTCAATGAGCTTCATCGTTGAAGGATTCCAACACTCTATACTTGTCATAGTACAATACTTTAGTTCTATTTTGACTATGTATTCATAAGGCCTTTACATTTTATGTGGTCTATAACCCTTTATACATACAACATTATTTTGATATAATTGTTTTGTATTATACTAGTTATTATATTGAAGCTCCATATTTTGTACCAACCGTTTCAATTATTTCTTGGTTTCTCAATAGCTATAAATATTTGGATATGAAAATTAAAAAAATTATTGTATCACTTCGATGATCTAATCTAGTATTAGGATCTTTCGATTTTACTAGATCGAGATTAAGGGTGTTACAAGTGAACTTAGTGAAAACCTTCAAATCAATATAACGTTTTGTGATAATCGAATAAAATATTTCTTACAAAAGATCAAATATTTTATAAGAGGACAAAACACATCGATATACGATATTACTTGAGATAACATTATTGTGAGCAAAATTTACATCCATTATAAGCTTATAGATATACTAAGTCACTTCCTACAAGCTACAATCAAGTTTGATATTGCTTGAAATTGGTCCTTCCTTTGAAGAGGTTTCATGAAATAGGTTGAGAACTAACTCGATGTGAATTTGTTAAAGAGCACTCCTTAGATGGTTAGAACTTTACTTTCTTCCTTTGCAAACTTGAAAAAAAGTATGACACTCAATTTGAATATATTTCTTTCCTATGCAAGTTTCCTTTATAAATTCTTTTTATAAATAAATAAAACTTATCCTTATAAATAGATATTGCATATTAGGGTTTATATGCAAATTATGTAAATCACAAATTGTGTTTAGACGCTCATATTCTTATGCTTTTTTTGACATAGTAATTTTTTTTTTTCTTATTCGTGATTATTTTATTTTTCCCATAAAATTTTTGTGTTTTATATTTTACGATCATTTTAAATTTATTATTATTGTACTTTCATTATTACATTTTGAAAAAACTAACATAGAAAAATTTATGAAAACAACCCTTAAAATTGTAAATAGATGGTATCACAAATAAATTAGATACATAGTTAGAAAATCATTTTAATATCCTTATTTCAAAGGGTAATTAATATTACTATAAAAATATTTTTTATAGTAATATAATATTTAAATAAAATAATTAAAAAAAAACCATTTGCAAAGGAAACACAATCAACGAATTCATATAAAAATTTTCCTTCCACTCATCAATAATCATTTAATCATCCAAACCTAGTGCAAATTTATAATTTTGGAAAGACAGACGAATTTGTGGAACTGTTACTTGTACAATAATGTCATCAAACAAAATTGCGCATGGTAAAATTCTTTAGGAGGATAAACTGTTGGTCTACATTTATTTTCTTTAAATTATTCGATATAAATATTTATAAGCATGATCATTAAAATTGAAAATAAATATATTAATATATAGAGAAATACACATAAACGACACTCATCCGAATCACTGCTTTCTATGCATTAATAGACAAGTTGTGATGCTACAAGCTGTTACCCTTTGTACCCAACTAGTTACAAAGATGTACAAAGCTTTCAACCTCAGAAGATAAAATTATTTTATAATCATTATCTTAAACAACAAATTACTTCTTTAATCCCATCCCTTTTACAACTCTGGTTAGAGTGCACAATACATATTTTTCCAAATAATTTTCTTCTTTTACATCTTCGATTGAGCTCTCACGGATAATTCTTTCCAATCAACCAAACGTTGCAAAAAATTCATGACCTCATCTGGTTCTTGTAAAGAATATGATGCATTAGTGTCTTTGGGAAACTTAGAGACAAGAATACCAAAACCTTGTCCTCTATCTCCCAGTATCTAAATAACAACGAAACCAAAAGTATTATTAGCCTCAAAGATCCACTGGTTTGATAATGGCAAAAGAACCGAGTTTCAGGTTTGATTTCTACCTTGAATGCATCTTCATCGGTCCTGTCATCTCCGATGTAAACCGGGAAAACATCAACAGAGTTAGCGAAACCTATAGCAAATACATCCATAACAATATTAGTATTAGCACTTGGTGATATGATCAAAGAATATGACATCATGTTTTGGTGTGGCTGCTGCTACTTGGACACTCCAATTATATAATATTGGAAGCGCAGACACGAAGTGCACACGTTTAAGGATCAAATCACATGTAATAAAGAATAGTTTGACTACTTTTAAGTAATGGAACTTACCAAGAGATTCTAACAAAAACACAAGGGCTTTCCCTTTGTCCCATTTGATTGTGGGACGGATTTCCAGAACCTTTCTGCCTTGTGTTAGCCGAAGCTTGGGGTAGTCTTTTAACACAGACTTAACCTTTTGTGCCAGTTCACTCCATTTCTGTGTTTCAATCCCAACAAATTAGGTGGTTGAAAGTATTAAGTTTTGATGATTTTCACTTTGCTATTCAGTCTTTACCTTTTCTTCTACACAACGGAAGTGTACTGAGAGGCAAAATTTGTTGTTCTCCACTTTAGCACCTGGGGTTGATTTTGTAGTCTCAACCAGTTGCTTGTGAACCTGCAAATGGAAAAAAAAAATGTCGATCATTTCAAGGTATTTGCTTTTGGTTTCCACTGAGTGTTTGCAAATTACCTCATCAATCATTGGAAGGAATTCACTTGCTGGTTGGAAAAGTAGTTCAGTTTCATTGTTAGATTTAGAATGATTTTCAGGACCCTTAATGTCCATTCCATGGCTTCCAGCGTAGTATAGCTCAGCTAATTTGACGAAGTTATAGACCTACACTTTTCAAAAACAAGAAAGAGAAAAAATAAATAAACAGTAAATGGAGTGAGAGGATCAAGTTTAAGGCCTGAAAATGTACCTTATCCCTGCATCTACCACTCACTATAGCCGTAGGAAAACATTTGGCTAGCTTTCTCACAGTCTTTCTCATCTGTTGTACACAAGACACTGTGATTAGATTAAAAATACCCAGGAATTTTATGCCATTGATATGAGCAAGTAGCTAACCTTCTTGGACATGAAAGCTCGATCTGGATCAGCTACAATTGGTGAAAGAGTGCCATCGTAGTCTAAGAACATTACTATCTGTTTCCCTTTCGAGGCATCAATTATCTGCTCGAACATCTCCAGTGCCGATGGATGGTGCAGCTAAACAATTTCATAAACCATAAAAAGTCAGAATCTCTATTGCCTTTTTTTTCAAAAAAAAATGATTACTCATTTTTGTTGGAGGCTTGAAAGAGCTTAGGACTTACATTCCAGGAACCTTGATGGTCAGCAATGGAAGGTCTGGATTTGATGTGGGTTGGGGAAGAAGCTCTCATAGCATCAACCCATGCATTAGCCCTTACTCCCGCATTGATTTCGAGGTTTTGAAGCAATTTGTTTCGTGAAATGGAGAGGAAACCAGGCGGTGCAGGCGGTTTTTGTGCTGATTTCGCATCAGATGCGACATTTTGACAGGCAGTGATGTTCTTTGGTCGTTCTTCAATGAAACTCACTACAAGGAACAACAACAGCCCGAATTCAGAAATGTTTAGTAAAGCTGAGCCTGAGATATCTCAGTATCCAAAGCCCAAAGTATTTTTTCTGTCGTTAAATAAAGAAAAGAAAAACCAAAACTTACCCATTTTAGAAATTAAGGTAGTTAGAACACCTAAAAATCAAAAAGTTTTTGGGAGTTAATGAATAAAAACAGGGCTGAAAGTTGTGAACAGGGGATTTTACAGAGTAGTCTGTTTCTTATTTTCTCTGTCTTGTAGGAAGTTGAAACCCAAAGATTAAGGAAGTGAAATCAAAACGAAAGACTTGAAAAAGAAAATCCCAAGGAAGAAATGGAGAGAGGAGTTAACAGAGAATGTATGTGAGAGAGAAGGAAGGAGTCGAAGCTGATTTTATAGCAGAAACCAGACTACTAAAGGACGAAATCAAACTCTTCACACAAACTAAATAAATAAATTAAATGTTTGGTGGTCCCAGGGTCCCCAGCCAAAATCCTGAGAGGGAACTGGGTTGTTTTGCTAGGCTGCTAGCGGTTATGCCACGTGGACGACATTCCTCAGGATCACTCATGTCATGTGGTTTCTGCACGTGTAGCATCAACTCACATGTTATACCCACGGGATTAAGATAGTCCGGGACACTGATCCGAAGGATTTTGGCCATTCCGGATTCTATCGTGTCAATTTTTTTTTTTTTTAAAAAAATCTAAGTTGGGTGTAACCAGATTTTATATAGATTATGTTTAGGTTGGATTAAATTTGTGTTTAGGATAAAAATATTTTACTTACGACTCCATATCTAAAAATTTAAAAGTGTGAGTCTAAAATTTTATTTTAATTTTTTTTAAATAATGGATATGCAAAAAAAATTATTTTTATTTTCTCTTAACACGCTAAATTAAATTTAATAATTTTTTTTTAAATAATGAGATGCACTTGGCCTTTATGGGACTTAGTGCATCTGCGCTTGTTTGGCCCAAACCGAAAAAAATATAATTTTACTTTATATATTTAAATATAATTACAATAAGACTTATCTCTATATATATTTTTTAATTTAATATCTAATTTTTATTAAACAAAAGCAATATTTTTATAATTTTTTATTTCAAATTGGGTCAGATCGAATTAGGTTTAAGTTTTATCTTAAAAATTCTGGTCAAATTTAAATTAGGTAAAAGGTGTATAACTTTTGAATCATATTTAAGTTGAATGAAAAGTCTATACTTTTCAAATCGAATCAAGTTAACGAAAAACCCCACCCAATGGACCCATACCCATTCCTGCACGAGATTACGGGAGTTGTATTCCCTTTACCCTCCACCAACTTGTCCTCCAAAGCTAAAATGAAACTAGGGTTAAATGCACATTTGTACTCAAATTATGACTCATATTTTACATATGATACTTAAATTTTAAAATATTTTAGTTACATTCTTAAAATTTTTAGTATCATATCAGTTATTTTATAATCAAATTGTTTGTTTGAACCAATATCAACTGATCTAGTGGGATGATGCACTAGATTCCATAAGTAAGATCGGGAGTTTGAATGCTAGCGTTTATAAATGGAGAAAATTGGGTTGGCGGGGTCATCATCGCCTCTGCAGTATCCGATCTGGATTAGTTAGTCAATAGATCAACACTACAATAAAACTATTCTACAGCGGCGTTTTTAGCAGTGTTTTGAGAGTAAACGCCACTAACTTTAAACATATAGCGGCGTTTCCATTCAAAACTTCACAAAATGGTAAATTTAACGGTATTTTTATACAAACGTCATAATAGGGTTCTTATATAGTGAGACTTTTTCAACAAACGCCGCAGCAGAGAGTACTTTAGTGGTGTTTGTATAGAAATGCTATAATAGGGTTCATATATAGTGGCGTTTTTACAACAGAGAAGTATTTTAGAGGCGTTTTTTCAACAAAACGCCGTAATAGAGTTGTATAGCGTCATTTTTAGTGGCGTTTTTTGATCAAACGTCGTTATAGACTTGTACTTTAGTGGCATTTTTTGTTCAAACACCGCAACAGTCATGTACTTTAGTGGCACTTTTTTCGTAATAAACACCGCAATAGTGATATACTTTAGTGGCATTTTTTCATAATAAATGCCACAATAGTGATGTACTTTAGTGGCGTTTTTATTATAAATGCCACGATTGTGCAATCCATTAAACCATCGGGTTCCAAATCCCTAATTGTTTCTTTCAAAAATTCTTAAATTTCCTAACCAACGGCATCCATCCAAACGAAGTCACCCCCAGACAACCATCATCACAAGCGCAACATCACGTCACTGCCGTCTATTTCCGGTCAGCAACAGGTATGCCTCTCTTCTCCGTCATCGTCGCCTGTTGTTTGTGGGGTTTTCTTATTCTTTCTAGGATCCTGTTGAAATTCCATATGATGATCTTTATGGGATCCTGTAGCAACAAGAGTTCATGAGATTAGCGTGCAGGGAACTTGCTTAAAACATGGGATTAGATGGTGATTTGCGTGTTAGGGATGAACGTGAAGTTATTGAAGAGTTAATGAGATTAGATGGCATTTAGGATTCCTTCTATGGTTTGTTGGGTAATGGGGGGAAATTAAAAAAAAAAATACATGTACAATGAAGGCAATTTTTAGGGAAATGAGTAGTGTATTCAAAGTCGTGTAGTGATATATGTTTATATAATTTTACACACATTTGAGCCCTTTCGTTAGTTAAAACATCAATTGATTGTCTCCATTAATGAATTTTAACTTTTAATGGGTAGACTAGGTTAGCCTAGTGGTACAAAGGAAAAGTTTCCTCTGATCCCTCCATCATTTGAGGATTTGGTTCGGTACCCCTTGTAAGCTCGAAGGATATCTAACCCTAAGGTAAAGAGGCTGATTATTTCGAATTGATGACTTCCTCAGCTGGTTTTCTGAAATTTAATGTTGATTAGGCTATGAGAAACAATGGAAGTGCAGGTGGAATTGCTGGTGTATTAAAAAATGAAAATGGTTCAACTTTCTTTGTTTTCTCCTTGTCATTTGGTCATGGTTTGCATATTCAAGCCGAAATATAGGCTATTGAGTATGTCGTTTCTTTATCCCTAGCGTCTCAATGGAATGCGAGTCTTAGACTTATTGTTGAGAGCGATAGTGAAGTTGTAATTAGTTTGATAGCCGACACTTCTAAAGCCCCGATAATTTATGTTGAAAAATTCTTAGAATTTATCAAAAATTTAAAATGAATTGTTGGTTTATTGGTTTCCTCCTCTAGAAGTTGTAATATTGAGACAAACAAGCTAGAGAAAGATGATGTTTCTATACATAAGGATAGATTGAGTTATTGTCGATTAACTTAGGGTGGGAGTTGGTTTTCTTTCTTGGATTTTGGCATCTTTGTCATTTTTCTGCTCGTAGGCGATGCTTGCAGTTATCAGCTCTTAAATTCAGTTTCCAACGGTCATGTTTGGGGATAAATTTAGGAAAATTTAAAAGTTCAAGGATTTAAATAGAAATATTTCAATATTAGATTAAATTAGAATTATGGAAAGAGAGAAGGGCATTATGGTAATTTTAGTTTAAAAGTTATTTTCCCCTTATATATGAGAGAAACACGTGGAGGGGAGGAGAGTTATCTGGAAACTCTTCTTCTTGTTCTTCTAGCTTTCCTTTTCTTCACATGGGCTTTAGCTATAAGGTAAGTTGGATTTTTATTGTTGATCTCTTGAATTTCCATGTGGGGTTTGATTCGTTGGGTGTTAAATAAGCTTAAGGAAAGCTTATATAGAATACAAACAATAAGATGAGTGAATTAGGATGGGATTTGTAAAATGAGTTTTAAGATGAATTTTTGATATGGTTTGGTTTTTAGAGTTTTGATGAGATTTTTGACTTGTCATAAGAAGGATTAAGAAGTCTAAAGCATTAAAATTGGATTTAGAACATGTGGAAATTTGAGTTTAATTATTGAATTACATGGGGTGGATAGGATTTTGAGGTTTAAGATGTGATAAATAGTATTAACGAGTTTAGGTATGTGTATGTGAATTAGGAATATGAAAGAAGATGAAATATAAAGTATTTGAGTGGAAATGAAGTGATTTTCGGGTTGAAAATGGCCATTCTAGGCCTAGTGTATCGGTACCCTTAGGAGAGGTATCAATACCTCATGAGTTGAACATGCGTATTTATATGAGTGTGTATCGGTACACTGAGGAGTGTATTGATACCCTCAAAATATCGAGTGTCATTTGTGTATCGGTACACTGATGAGTGTATCGATACCCTCAAAACATCGAGTGCTATTTATGTATCGATACACTGGGGAGTGTATCGATACCCCCAAGTATGAATTGAATTATAAGGTTCTTGTATATCAAGATATTATGATTCAATATAATTGAGATGAGATTGATATTAATTCTAGATTGTTTTTGTAATGACTAAACGCATGTGAATTTCCAGTTAGCTTTGTAATTCGAATATCAACATTCATTAAATTTCATATTCGTGGAGATATCGATCGGAAGCAAAGTTCTGATAAGTCGTCAGAGAAAGATTGGCAAGAGAGAACAAGAGCTTGGTAGTATTCATTGAGACCCAGGTGAGTACATGATATTACGTGTACGTGATGTTAGGGAATTAAGACTTGCGATAAGTCTAATTCCAATAAGAGATGACATGAGTATAAGAAACAAGCATGGTGTGATATTATGTTTATTAGGACCGGAGCATGATCATGTAGTGATATGGTGCTAGATGTATATGAATAATACATATGTCTAATTATTGAATGCATCTTTATATGTGAACCATGTAAATACATGTATGTGTGATAATATGTTAGGTGATCATAAGAGATAAAAATAAATGATAAAAGATATGTGAAAGTGATATGACTTATATGTGTTTTTATTAAAATGTTAAATGATATGTTATGTAGGTTAAAATGAATTATGTGAATATATGTCAGTGCAATCAACTATGTTAAAGGTTAAAATTGAATTATGTGATGGTATATAAAATGATATGAATTATATATGAGAACATGTATATGTTATAGGATAAGCCTACGACCATGAGCTATGTGTAAAAGAATGCAAGTAAAGGTGAAAAGTTATGTGATATGTGAATGTGAATTACATGGAAATATGCTACGTGAAAGTAAACAATGTGCCTATGTGAAGATGTGAAATGATATAAAAGATAATGCCAATGTCATGTGTTATGAGAGCTATAGGTATAGTTGGCATGCCAAGAGTTGAGTGTTCTATGTGGTCCTATGGCACATATGTGTTTTATGTGGTCCTTCGGGACATAGTGGTTCTACGAGACAAATTATACGCGCCCCTAGTGGGATTT